TTTTTAAATATTTCTACAATGTGTAGCTTTCATTCATTTTTAATTTTAGTTGAGTTTTAGTTTTAGTAAGTTTAGCACTAAACAAATATTGTCAACAATGTCTATATATTTGTAATTTTTATATAAATATATATTTATATTATTTTATTTAAAATTTATTTTAATACCTAAAATGATTTTCAATAGTTTTAGTTTTAAAAGTCAAAGTTTTTTATTGTCATATGTACAGGGTACAGTGTACTAAGTACAATGAAATTCTGAACAGGCAGTGCAAACAAACTACACAGATATAGACATGTACAGTATATACAGTGCTGGATGTACATGAATGTATAAGTGTGCATATAAGTTAAATTATTGAATAGATTATTAAAAAGCAGCAGCAGCAGCAAAATAGGACACACACACACACACACGTTGGGATTCCATGTCTAATGGAGACATCATATATTTTTATACTGTACAAACTGTATTTTCCATCCCCTTACCCTAACCCTACCCCTAAACCTACCCATCATAAAAAAAACAAAAAAAACCCCATCTAAAATAGAAAGTTTTGTTATTTTAGATTTTCAAAAAAATCATTCTGTATTATTTATAAGTCTTTTAAATGTTTATTTATAAGCCTTTTTCCTCCTTTTCCTCAATTCTCTCCCCACAAGGTCAAAATTTACTGGTATTATACTTGTGGGGACATCTGGACCCCATAACATAGGGAATACCAGGGCCACACACATATGTCTACATGCGCACATGGACATTCATTATGCCTACTAATTCCAAAAGGGTCTGGCTGCAGCTGGCGCTTGCACTCTCAGACGTGCATTCTCAGGCTTGCACTCTCAGACACTTGCGCTTCCGCTAGCTACGTCACTTGCAGTCTTTTATTTGTTTTTATTTTGTTCTATTTATTGATTACTTTTTGTTTGAATCGCTCAACGTTTTACAACAATAGCCAGGTGGTGAAGACAAGAAAAAAGAAACTAAATTACAATGTCACTTGCAATCGCCACTTGCACTCTCCGACACCTGCGACGTCACTTGCAATCGACACAAATCGTGCGTGTTGCCAATGGAGACAAGACGCTGTGGTGGTGATTTAATGATTATTTATTTTATTTATTTTAAGTGTTTATGTTTTTCTACAGGAGGAAAACGCATAGCTAGAGACTTTGCGCATGCGTTCATATTCTGCTGTTCTGTGGCCACGGATTTGTGGGTCTTGTCTTTTTCTTGCAGGACCCTGTATGTTATGGTACTAAATTAGTTTTAATCGTTTAATCACCACCACAGCTTCTTGTATTCATTGGCAACACGCACGATTTGTGTCGATTGCAAGTGACGTCGCAGGTATCGGAGAGTGCAAGTGGCGATTGCAAGTGGCTTCGTAATTTAGTTTATTTTTTCTTGTCTTCACCACCTGGCTACTGTTGTAAAATGTTGAGAGATACAAACAAAAAGTAATAAATACATATAACAAAATAAAAAATAAAAAAGACTGCAAGTGACGTCGCTAGCGGAAGTGCAAGTGTCTGAGAGTGCAAGCCTGAGAATGCACGTCTGAGAGTGCAAGCGCCAGCTGCAGCCAGACCCTTCTCACTAATTCAGACAGAGTGAAGACTAAATTGACTATTAAATGTATTTTTTAAATGTCTATTAACTCTGTAAACGAGCATTACCTGAACTAACCAGCAGGTGACACCTTTGTAACATGTTTTATAACATTTTATAGTAATTTTATAGGATAGAATATGATAAATCACACTCTATAAATGGCTTTAAGATTCTTCCTATTTTCAGTTTATAAGTGCTTTGTATGCTAGTTTTTTATGCAATATAGGGTCAATACAAACAACAAATGGTGACTCTGAAAACAGAGGTTAGTAAAACTATAGGCTAACATACATTAAATAATAATAATAATAATAATGAACATTAAGATATCTATCTATCTATCTATCTATCTATCTATCTATCTATCTATCTATCTATCTGTCTATCTATCTATCTGACCGACTGACTCAACATATGCTGACAAACGATGCAGACGCGTAGAAGACTGTGTGCGTGCGTGCGTGTGTGTACTCGGTCACGGGGAATCCGTGGGAGCGCAAACTCCGCCCACGCCATGAACATCTCCAGCGGTGAGAGCGGGGCGGGGGGTTTGCCTCGCGCTCCGAGCTCGGAGCTCGGGCTGCAATGAATACGCCGATACAAAGCTGCTCTTGACCATGTAACAGGATTGCAGTTCACGGGATATTCACGAGCGAACGCTGCGGCAGGTAGGACATCCGTTTATATCCTGGTGGTGCTTCATGTATGCGGCTTGAGGGAATAAACGCGGCTTTACGCTGAGATGGACACAGGAACTTCAGTGCTCCCATTCTGTCACCTCTTCAACTGTCTGTTTCTTCTTTATACATCGGTTACATCATCTTAAAACAGTCTTAACCCCACAAAAGTCAATGTCAGAGGATATTCCCTGACAAACAAGCCTGTTTTAACGCTGTCTGTGGCATTACATATAGTGTCGTCTCACCAGGTGTTTGAACAGGTGCAATGCAGCAGAGCGTTTTTCTATTTATCGAGGTAGCCTGAAGTCGTGTTCATATCTTTGTATAGGCAATTTTTGCGAAAGTTTAAAAGTGTCACCACGGTTCGATCCGTGGTGTTTATTGCACATATTATGTGAGGCTAGTTGTCCCACTTTTTACTGCAGTGAATATTAATAGGGTAGGTTTATTTTTGAAAGTCAATGTCTGTGTAGATAAATGCCTTAAAGTCTTGGGGACAAAATGTCTTATGGGTCTCATTGTGATTCTGTTGTGTTCACTTGACTGCTATTGAGTAAATATGATGATATTTAGATTTTTTTTGTAGCATATAATTCACAAATATCATTTAATTTTAATTGAATTACCTAATTTAGTTATGAAACATGAAAAAAAACCCCGGTGAAATCAAGCCTGTTTTGCAATTATATGGGTATGAGGATACCTAACATGTGGGATAGGATAGCTAAAACACCTTTGTACAGTGATGATTTTTGTAGTCAGCAAGATGTTCTTTAACCTGATAACATGTGATTGCCTGGCGTGTGCTGTGCTTATCCTTTAGTATGATTTAGTATCCAGAGCCAAGACATCATGAATGGCAAACTGGCCCACTAGTAAGTTGTTGCCTGTAAACTATTATCTGTCTAATTTGGTTTACTCCACCCATTTAATATTTAGAAACACCATTTTTTTTAAAGCTGTTACAGTGATAATCACACTGAGAACCAGAACAGACATTCTACTAGCCTACAGATTAAACTCTGTGGCCACTCACACGGGTGGAAAAATGCTGGTGGAAGTTATACACACGGATTTGAGTCCTAATTATTTGCTTATCACAGTGGTGACACACGCTAGTGATGGGAAATACACCTCTTGGCATTTTAACCTCTTGTCACATGCTGATAGGTAACTGTTTAAGATGTGATGTGTCATCTTTTGTGTACTATGGGCAACAACATACAGTAAATCACTTCTGTTTTCTGAAGCATTAGCTATACCCGAGTGAGACATAATCAAGATAAGAGGCAGCTGGAGGAACAGCACATCAGTTTGACTGTCCAAGGGAATATTGTATTGCTCAGATGTTCATACTCTTTCATAGCTCCGGACAGTTATTTATGTTTAATGCAAGTATCAGATGTTCTTTCTATCACAAGAAAAAGTAGATGCTAATGTGACAATTGTGAACATACAATATGAGTATAGCGCTGTATTATTATATGATTTTTTTCATTATATATACATATATATATA